ATTAATAATAGATTTCATTATTAGAAAAACTTAAGTAGAATAGAATATGTACTCTAAGCTCCATTATTACCTATGATCTAATTATATTAAAACGTAACTTAATGATTATGACAGGGCAATCCGCTCAAAATTACATACAGTACTGAATACTGAAATTGAGAAAAAGTAAACGAATACCAATAAAATTTCAGCATGTTAAATCTATTTAAAAGACGGTCCATATTCATTTAGGTATGTGTTGAGATATTCATAAAATACCCCAGAAATTATCTAATGCTATTCCGGAATGAGAAACAGTGTCATTTCCCCATTGGTCAATATTCTTCCAATGTGTCATCTTCCCGTTGGTCAATACTTATTTGTGTCATTTCCTGGAGGTTAAATCTTGTACAAATGTTACTTTCTATTTTATGGTAGGATGTAGCCTGTTTGTTTAGTATATAAACAGAGTATGTTTGAAATATAACGACTCATATCACAGAGGCTGAGACTTGCATTCTGGACTCAACTTGCTGGGCTAGACAGGGAAGCAGGTTCAATCAGAACTCTAGGCTGTTCTTACGTGTTTTACGCGTCTTTGGTCCGATCGATAATTCGTCCTCCCTCTCCTCAAATCGCACGTCTCTCACAGTTATAACAGTATAAAAATAAGGAAAATTGATTCATTAAAGTTCTCTCTTCAAAGAATTCATTCTCAAAGCTATGTAATAACAAAATATATGTATCTTTTCTACAATAATAATTAATAATGGGTTGGACAAGTAAGTGATTATCTATATTCGGTAGTTAAATGGATCATGGTTGGGGCGCTTGAAGCAAAAGACACTGATTTCGAGTTGTAGTTGAGCACGGACACTGAGATAAATGTACATCCAACTGATGAGTACCAAATAGCTGGAAACAGTAGTCTTGACTTCTACTGTCAGCCGCTATTTAACGTTGATAGTAATATATTTATTTAGAAAAATATGAATTCACACAGTTAGAGAACATTTTTAATCAAGTGTATGATTCTGTCTCAAAGTTGTGTCACTGGTTGCATTTGGAAGCTTGTTTAAACTTTCAAGTTTTATGATTGGCAGAAATATTACACGTTTATTAAGCTCTATTTTGAAATCCTTTTACAAATCGATTTAAAACATACACTATAAATGAATAATATATCTGTAATATCCCAATGAGTAGAAAAATTAGATTTTCTGACGTTTCGTCACTTGATGTAAGCCACCCCCTCAGAGAATAAATAACCAATGCAAATGAATCACAACTTCACACCAATTTGGTTATTTATTCTCTGAAGAAGTGGTATGCATCAAGTGACGAAACTTCAGAAAATCTAATTTTTGTACTCATTGGGACATTACAAATATATTATCTATTTATAACAATCTACCCAATGGCCAATAGACTAGCAAATTTTTCCCTAAGGCATCATGTAATTCACCCTATATATTGCAAACTAATCGCGTAGCTACTTATAAGTAGCATAAATATATTGACAAAAGTTCACATCGTACGGAGAGATGGATGGTGTCTGACAGCGTAATCCAGGACGGTTGTCCTGTCTTATTTGGGGTACATCAGCTGGATGTACGTGCGTCTCTTAGATGATTTTCACCCGGGGACTCAAATTCAGTACTTTTTACTTCAAACGTCATCTCGTTATCTGCCTAGTTGCTGAGTTCTGATAGCCACTAGCTTGTGAAATGGTGTGAAATTGTAATTCATTTGTATTGGGTGTTTGAATCCTTCCCATTGATATTTTAAAAGCTCAATATGTTCGATATGTATCAGCTAAAAGATGGTCATTGTATTTTTTTTAAAGTTTTTCAGTTGAGTATTATGTAAGAAAGATTGGTTCAGCAAAGTGTTCTCTTCTTAGCGAGTTCATTTTCAAAGCTTTACAACCTTATTATTTCAGGATTATGATGATTACAATAATAATTGTTTAGTTGTTAATGGCAGATGACTGTAAAGGACAAAGCTCATGAATAAACATTTTTTTAATATCTTTGTTTACATCTTTGTTCTACATCATAATGTCAAACAGAAGTTTATTATCATTATTATCATAATCATTGTAGTCCTCATCATCTTGAAAAAAAACAAGTATATATATTTACGATTTAATAGCTTTGAAAGTGAATTCGCCGAAAATAGAACTCTACTCTGAACCAATCTTTCTTATTAAATGTCTTGCCCCCAAATGCTATGGTACGGTCGAGAGTCGGGAAAGTCAGATCTTCCTCTGAGAATGCTCTCACATGACCATGTGCATACAAACACTGTCAAAGAATTCCTGCTCACTGCCTTGTCGCGGCATTACTGTTGTTTACGAAATTGAGAGGACGGAAAGCGAATGTCCAACGCTCTAACTAGGTTTGATGGACATGGAGATTCCACTTAGGGGGAGTTAGAAAACCCTGATCCCAAACCAATGGTGCACATGGGCCCCAGGATCTGAAGGAAACAAATGGCTTATGAACCTATTGTTGGTTACTGGCCACCATGAGACTGCATCTCCACTGCCTTTTGGATTAAAGCTTTAGGTCAAGGACTCGGGATGTGGCCCCCTAAGAAAATAATCTGCTTCGATTTGAGTATCCGAGCAGCATCCCAGATGTCACATAAATTGAATGATATATGTGACGCACATATCTGTTTGGTGCCTTCTTGTATCAATGTTTATATGTTTAAATAAATAAAAATGTAATGTCTAAATGGGTTTATTTCGTTAACTGAATATTATGTGTCATAAATAAGGGAAAAATGTCATCTGATTATATCACAGCATATGATACTTCTAAAATTTTGCAAGTTTAGAATTCGGTTTATCCCGAGGTCGCTTTGTTAGCTTTATTATAACTGACTATTATCTATAAACCTCCATTAGACTGATGTTATTTGAGAATTTGTTAAGTTATCATTTTTACAATATGGAGGTATTAATCTTTTTTTAGCATTCTTGGCTATAATGAAACATGGGATTTAGCACATTCCTATTTTACTCTATTACTACTTGCTTCGGGTAAATATAGACTATGATGGTCTGAAGTAGATAACCTACTGATATATACACAGATAAATGTTCTTACCAATATTTAGAAACCACATATTAGTATGTATAACTATTAGATAGAAATGAAATGCTGAGGACTTTCATATTTGGACGGAACGGATGTATAGTGTTTTCAATCGCGATCTAACTTAGATCGATAAGTCATTTTAATGAAATGAAATTGCAGTTGAACAAATCTTATGAATAAGCTTTACTCCAATACATGAACTAAGTATAGAGATAAAATCTATTTTGATTATACGGAATAATTCTTTGACAGTCTTCTTACGAGTTTGGACTATTTATTTTCAAAAAGTACAAATAAGATGCCATATTTTAAAGTTGTTCAAGCTGAACCAGAACCTATCAGACTGATAGGTTCAGGGTTCGAATTTCGCGGCGGGAGGGTGGATCATGGATGCGCACTGTTGAGCGGTCCCATACTAGGACAAACCGGCCGTTCAGTGCTACCAGGTTTTTCATGGTAGTTTAACTTTAGTTGACTGATTATTTCAACTACTGAAATTACAGTTTTAGTGAATTCTGAAGAAAAGTTTATGGTAACATTCCATAATTAGTACTGGAAATTCCTTACAGTAATAAAAAATACATTGTTGAATAAAGCTATAATTGTTGGTAGTTTGAACTATTAATTTTGCAAAATAAGTTGATTTATTCGATAAGTATACACTCAAAGTAAAAGAGGAAGACTAATGGACACATTCGGTCAGTAATTGGAGTCAGACATCATAGGAATGAATAGTCCTTGGAAACAACTGAAAAGAAGAACACAGAACAGATTTGGTTGGAGAATCTTAGTCGGTGGTCGATGGTCCACTAGGAATAACTGGAGTAAGTAAGTAAGTAGGTAGGTAATATACTCAAAATATACATACATACGAATGTCTTATTTCAGAGGGGAGGAGATCTGTGCTTTCGACATACATACACAGATATTAGAAATAATAATAACTTCTGAAGACCTAGAAAAGTTTTATGGATGATTTATGTTAGGTTCAAACATTTTCAGATTGAATATTATGAACTGAAATCCATCTATAATTGAAAATAAGATACAACTTGGATTTAAGTAAGTGAATAAAATGAATTGATTGTCTATTCTTCTCCTCTTCCATTTTCTCTATGCCTCATTCTCTTACTTCATAAATTTATCTATACAAAGTGTTTAATATTAAAATCAAATAAGAAATCAATATAGAATTTAATATTAATAAACAAACAAAGTCAACTTCTTTTTTTATTTTTTTTTATTTACCTTCGAACAGCTTTTCCATATGGTAAAATAACACAATCTTCAATTGCACGCATAATTAATTCAAAATCCATTGCTTGTATAGGTCTTAAATGTACACGTATAGCTGGTGTAAATGTATCACCATTACGATAAACACTGTAAAAATAAAGGGTAATTATGGATGTATCTACATGAATGTATAGTTCAGTAAGGAGAAGAAGAACACACAATGTTGGGAAATGAAAGCAGATATAAAAAACATGATTAGCAACTGGAAAAAATTACCCAGGACAAGGTCAGATAGAGAGTGATGGTGGATGGCCTATGCTCCTCGACGAGGGATAACAAGCATAAGTAATTAAGTAAGTAAGTATTCGTATAATTAACAAATAAATACACGTTAAATCTTCATTAAGATTAACTGCATATTGTCAACTATATTACTCTTGTTATAATTTTCTGATATTGGAACTTTTACAAAATAAGTGAACTTTGTGGTTTATAATTTTAAATTGTTAGGTGATTGGGTCACTATTCTTCCATCTTTGCTTAGAATGCTTGTGGCTTAAGGTTATATCGAGACCATATGCACAGTATGCACTTATGCCAATAACAGAATAATCAATTGCAGTCTTAAATAACAATGGAAAGATTTAAGTAAATAATATCAAGTGAATTTAAAACTTCATCCCATTGCACAAGCAAGTGATTACCAGGACTCAGTAGCTAATTGGGTAACGCGATGGTGCTTAAAGTGAACGGTACTGTGTTCGAGTCCCAAAGTGGACATTAACACTGAGATTCAGGTACATCCAGTTGACGAGTCCCAAATAAGATGAAACGCGGGTCGTGGATTCCATTGCTAGCCACTACCCATCCTTGCTTATGATGTTTGTGACTTAAGGCAATATTGAAGCAATCCATAACAATTACAAACTGATCAATTGCAGTCGTAAATAACAATGGGAAGATTCAAGTAAACAATATCAAGTGAATTCAATAAAAAGGATACTTAGGATTCTTAATAACATACAAAACGAATTGTAAATGGTATAAAAGACCTTAAAGTGCTTAGATATATTACACAATAACGTATAAACATACATATATGTATATGTATATCATCCTTACTAACTTACTATATAACTTTGACATTACGACGAAATCCATCGGATAATCTACCAACTTGGCTTTTTAATCGTATATGACGCCTTCTCCAATACTAACCCCCCCCCAAAAAAAAGAAAAGAAAGTAAATAAAAATATATATTAAACTTATTGAATTTAACGAAAATAATGAACATTCCCATTTTGACATTTGGTAAATAGCAAAGGAACAAATCGATTGAAGAAATTTCTTTTCAATTAGTTTCTCATCATGGCTCTACACTAATATATATATACATATATTACTAGAATGGGTTTTGTGGAGAATTGGTAATTTCAATAGTTGAAATCATGAATCAATTGAAGCTAGACCACCATGGAAAACCTGGAAGCACTGGACGGCCGTTTCGTCCTAGTATGGGACTCCTCAGCTTCCAGGTTTTCCATAATGGTCTAGCTTCAATTGATTCATGATTTCAACTATTGATATATATATGTACATGATTTATTCATAGAGTAGATACGTTATGTAATAATTACATAATGACATATCGATTATAAATTAACATTGAGTAATTGGAAGAAAGAGGATTAATAATAATAATAATCAAAATGATTATTCGAAGACCAATTAGTTGCTATGTTGCATAATATATGAAAAAGAGAAGGAACATAATGATCAGTAGAATAGTAGTTACGTAAAAATCAAGAGATGAATGTTGAGAATAAGTAAAATACAAAGTTCAAAGAACAAAAACAAAAATGGAAGTAGTACGAATTTAGTTTATCAATGAACATTTAGTTATAATTAATGATTTTCGCTGTGAACAAAAACACAAATGGGGACAATCGAATGTTTTTGATGGAGTTTTTTTCTCTGAGCTGGGTGGTTGGTTCATGGAGCTTTCATCGTTCTTCTGAACGACATCATCAGCACAAACTTCAGTAAGAACTAATCAACATCGAGATGCACAGAACATGCTGTGAAACGCATATGGATAAATTCGGACACTCCGCTTCTATCCGAAGTTTGTACTGATGATGTTGTTGTGGATGCGCACTACTAAGGAGTCTGACAATAGGACGAAAACGGCCGTCCAGTGCTTTCAGGTTTTCAATGGTGGTTTAACATCAATCCATTCATCATCTAAAGTCAATTAAACTAACTTTATAATGAATGGATAAATGTCATAAAATGCATTCAAGATCAATAAATGAAATGTACATCGAATTATTTGATACTGAATTTAATCAACAAAAACTAGCTTTCCTTGATATATGAGTTTTAGGAATGATTTTTCTCACAATTCGTTGTATTTAACGATTTAACATTTCAACTACTGATCCTTTTTAAAATAAAACTATCCAAATCATAATATCCGAGTTAATTTCATATAATCTTTAACTATACTGATGAATATTATGTGTCTCGAGGTTTATTAACTTTGATGGAGTTTTGTTCTCTGAGCTGGATGATAGTACCGCTAACGCAACAAGTGAAAGAAAACAACCAACTGACCCCACAAGAACAAAAAGCCTTGAAGCATCTTAGAACTAGAAAGGATATTGTCATAGTTCCAGCGGACAAAGGACGCACAACAGTAATTATGGACAAAGAGGAATACCTCAAAAAAGCCGAACAACTACTTGAAGATACGAACACATACAAACGGATAGATATAAATCCTGTCAAAAAATTGGACAACAGAATCTCAAAGACATTAAACAAGCTAGTCAAAGCAGGAGAAATAACAAAACAAGATCAATGGAGAATGAAATCCAATGGACCAGTACTCCCCAACACACGACCAAACCATCCAGCTCAGAGAACAAAACTCCATCAAAATCATCCACCTGAGCTACAAATGTTCTCCACCATCTCAAAAAAAGGTTTATTAACTCAATATTGATATCTAAGTAGCTGATATCCTTTTCTGCCTATGGATAAAGCAATGATCGAGTGACTTTGAGTCATCTGCATTCTACTAAATCTTGATAACAGTTGAGGGACAAAATGGTAGTATTACCGTTATTTTGGTTGTAGTATATCTGATGATTATTGGAGTGTTATCTACTGGTGTCCTCATAGATTTTATTACTGGCAAGTTCCTTAGTTTCTTTTTATGAGTTTTGTGACCATGACATCTATCTTTGCACACCATCACATTACAATTTCTTCCTTGATTGTTATTGTCTGAACGAAATACCATGCACCTCAACCCCAGTGGGTGAATAGTAAACTTTCCACCCTTTCTCTGACTGACTTATTGGAAAGGTATTATTTGTAGAATACAGAAGTCTTCGAACCTTGATCGGATTCGTAGTAAAATGTCTAACAAACTCGATCAAAATGGTATCACAATTGATATTTGTTCATTGTTATGTTTTGGCAACAACATCACGGAAGGTTAGTTTGGGGTTTTGATCTATGTAGTGATGTAATCAAAGTAGATGGTTTAAGATGTTAGATGGACATCAAGAAGGGTACTGAAGAGAATCTCAATCCAGTAATCCTTCAAATTTATTTTCAGCTCTTTACACAGTTGTAAACTGAAATTGTGCAAAGTAACTCTGGATAGTAATTGATTTAGTTGATTCCACTAAGACGATAAGTTATCTATACGAAGTGGATGGATCAGATGAGACAACAGTGACGACAAGAATAAAAACAGATCATCAAAAACTCATTAACTATGAATGAGTGGAAATCAATATTCAATCAGTTTTGAAATCGTTGATCATACTTATCGAAAATTTTCCTCATGTTTTAAAAATTTGAAAACAGAACCCACAAAATCTGAACTAAGAATTAAGTATCATACTCATACAACAATCCAGTGATTACTATCAGTGATATAACAAAGTCAATAGAAAGTCTGAAACTTCCTAATGATTCTAATCCGGTCGCAGCTTAACACTTAGAATCCACTGAAAATTCTTTAAATTCGATTTTAATGTTACAAAATCTATCATCATAAGCCACCGATAGAACGATCTCACTAGTATTTATTGATGTTTTCAGTTATAGCACAAAATTATATCAGGTTCTCTTATCGTTATGGATCAAATTGTACAGAGAATGATCATTTTTGGGCCGAGAAGAGAGAAAAAAGTAAGAATTTAATCCGTCCTAGAAATCAGGCAGTGATAGCTGAGGATCTTAACTCCATGCCAGTAAGGTGGTCTCAATAGGTCAAAGGAATAAAACCATTATAATCAGTAAACTTCAATAGTACATGAGGCAAATCAGAATTATAACGACGATATAAGCGTCGTTACAAGAGGACTCCTTATCATTTCTTGGGAAGAAAAATATGATATGACTGTATGGATCAAGCCTAACACTCAGATCTTTATTGATTCAAAGTTACTTTTTGTGTTAATATTTCGGTTTTAAGTTAGTCGCTTCTTCCAACTGATGATCTTGTCTGTGATTTACAACTGTTCTTGGGCTGAAGTCAGTAATTCGGTCTAGTGAATAGCCATTGCTTGACTAGATCTCTGAAACTTCTTGAATATATCTATTTACATAACCCATAACCAACACATTCAAATAGCAGTCAGTGATCACATGAAATGATTTAGACATAGAGTTGATGAATTAATTCAGTCTTGAACGCATGAAAAAAAAAAACGGGATAGATCAGATTTTATTAAAAACTATCAGTTATCATAAGCTGTAAAATCTAATTCCAAAGCATTTAGTTCATTCTAAATAACCAAATAATGTCACCTCTTGAAAGATGGTTGAAAGCAATCAATAAGAAACCGTTTAAAAATTGTTTGTTTTTTTATATCTTTAATGTTGAATGAAGTTATTCTTTGATGAGACTTATATCCGGACTAACCACTGTGACATTCAGAGGCTCTGAGATTCGAGTCTAGAGTGAACTCCTGTAGCGGGCATCTCAATGTTTACATCCAACTAATTAACACCAGATAAGAATTCATCATGATGTTCAATCATTCAACCAAAAAGTGTAAATCCTACTGATTAATGCTCAACCAACGGTTAATATGGGTACTAATTAACCTCATCAAACATTACTGAGTTTAAGATTCAATGATAAAAATGAATCTATTTTAATACAAATTTACATCAATAATAAAACACAACATAATTTAGCATTTATTAAGTATTTTAATTCTAGTTTCATCTGTATAAACAGAAATAAGACTGAATTCGTAGTTTACAAACTAGTTCAAGATTGTGGATACGCATTGCTGAGGAGTCTGACAATAGGACGAAATTGCCGTCCAGTGCATCCATATTTTGAATGGTTGTCTAACATCAATCGGTTCAAGATCTTGATCAATCACTTAATCATCTCCACAACCCTTTATACTGATTCTTCTTTTTTCTTTTATTTTATATCTTTTTGTTAGTTAAGACTTATTTCTATAAGTTCAATCATAGAAGATGTAATTGCATAGATTTAGTTACAGAGTACTAAATTAATCTAAATATAGATTATCTATGCTTTTATGCACTTTTGTAAAATAATTCATAAGGTCAAAATGCAAAAAAAAAAAAAAAAAAGAAAGAAAAAAAAAGAAAGAACCAACTCCACTGGATATGATGAAAAAAAAAACAAAACAACAAGAAGTTAAACGTCTATATGCAAACTAATTAAACTAATGTTAACCAATTCATAATTGGTCAGTATCTCTATTAATACAGGTGATAATTATGATACAATTTAACGAATACATAAGTACAAACAAACTGATCTATAAATGATTGAATTAAATTATCATTTTATATATTATAATTGTTAGATGGATTTTAAATAGATAAAAGATGATAAGTATAATCTAATAGATTCTAAGTTCGAATCTCGAAAGACAGGATTATGGATGTGCCTTACTAAAGAGTCCTATACTAGGATGAAACGATTTCCCATTGCTTTAAGGTTTTTCATCCTGGTCTAAGTTCAAATGACTCATGATTTCAACTATTAAATTATTATTGTATCCACAAAAGTCCTTCTGTGTTTATAATCATCATGTGCTCACTAGTGACGGTTTTCAAGGGGTATTTTGTAAAGTTCTACTGAGAAGCCGTGACTTGTGGAGTTCAACCGGGTCTGTTATGAGATAGTAACTCACTGATAATAATGATGGACGGTGGTGCAACTTTGTAGATTGGATAAAGTTAGACATTAATAGGGTTAGATGCCGTCCGGCTCAGTGGTCTAATGGTTATGAGTTAACGCGTGAGTTCGATAGGTCCTGGGTTCGATTCTCGTGGGAGCGGGGTCGGGATCGTGGATGAGCACTGTTGAGAAGTCCAACATTAGGACGAAAATGGTCGTCCAGTTCTTCTAAGTTTTCAATGGTGGTCTAACATCGATTGATTCATGATCTCAATCAAAATCTTAACATTCTCCACAACCCCTATAAAACTGGTAATTAAGGAATAACAAGTATGAAGTATTGTAAGTTAACATTATTGATTATTTGGTAAAGTTATTCTCATTAAGAGACTTTAATTACTAAAAGCATCTTTGAATGCCTGTTTACATAATCCTAACATTTAGAAGTGAGTCATATAGCCTTGTGTTAAAGTAAAAACTTAGATCGATTATTAGTAAGATGTGTAACATAGTAAAGAAATTCATGCAAATGAATATATTGTATTCCATTATACTGACCAGAGTACATATGTGTGTGTGTGTGTGCGTGTAGAAAATTATAGATCAGTATAATAAATTGTGAGATTGATATTAACTCGTTTCCTTTTGGTTTTATATACAGGTTGTCTAGGATTAGAAACGTCTTTTTGAAGCTCTAACTATACGAAAGTTAAGACCATTCTTCAAATAAAACATCTCATAATTATTAGATATACGATATTGGAAAGCGAATCTATTCAGTTTTACCTTAAACACTAAATTATATGGTGAACCGTTAGGTATAGTTTCTTTATGTCAAGTTTAGCAAGAGTTTATGACATTTTGACAAAGCATATTAGGTTGGCGCTGACACAAACACTTTCGAGGTGTTTATTAACAAATAGCTCTCGCTAACTATGATCGAGAGATTTTGGTTAACACTAACAGACTAAATAAATCTGACAATGATCACTAATTCTCAGCTAATCACTTGTAACTATTTCAGTCCTACAGGAAGTCAATCGAAACCTGAATTTTTTAATGTTAACATTTCAAACTGTAAAGTTACGCGACAAGGGTCCGAATCGCAAAGGGAGAATCATTTTCTTTAGCACTGTAGGTACACGTTTCTGACATATACCAACTAACAGGAAATCATAGTTATGAAGAGTTTCCTCTTAACTATCTCTAACCACCAATTGGATTTACTGTAACTTCTTAGTGATTATGTTTTTGATTGAGATCATGAACCGATTAATGTTAGACTAATGTTGAAAGCCTGGAAGAACTAGACAGCCATTTCGTCCTTTTGTGGGACTCCTGAGCTGTACGCATCCAGGATCCCGCTCGCAGAATTCGACCTCAGGGCATTCAGTCTCGCGCTCAAACGCTTAACCTACTGGACCACTGAGCCAGCCTGCATCCAATGGTTTTAATGTTTAACCTCAACCAATCCACGAAATTGGGCGACCATCTCCCATTGTACTGAGACATATGCCTGTCTCTACCCGACACGGATTGGCTCCACTGGTGACGGCTTCTCATTGGAACCCCAAGAATTTCTTCACGAAGCTAGTCACTAGTGAGGACTTGTTAATTACCAGTATAGGAGTTGTGATTAGCAATTAATTATGTAGCAGAACATTTATTCCGTTTAACATTAACTTAATTGCATTTATATCAAAAATGACTAGCTTTTACATCGTCATCGTTTTTTTATGTATTAAGACACTAAATTGAAAAGCAGATTACTGATAGGAGGAGTTACCGTTGCTGCTTGTATAAAGCATTATATACCATGATAAAGTACCACCAATATTTATTAAATTTTATATTCGATAAGTCTACTTAGTAATGTTTTGTTCTGACCAAGACAATAGTAGCTGTTCATAGGTACTTTTATATAAGTACAAGATAGTCAATATGTGAAAACATTGAGGTGAACAGTTATGGGTCACAAATGATGGGATCCAGCTTCCTAGATCGCAATGAATAGAACAGTATATGAATTGATCATTGATTCGTCGAATATCGAATTCTCTAGTCACTAAGTTACACATCCACATTTAACTATGATGTAATTTAAAGTATTCAGTCTGTAATAATCTTTAAAAAAGACAAATGGTAATATGAATTGTTTTGTAGTTATTTAGTTGTTAATGTAAAAATCAATTGTAAGAAAAATTATTTAAAGAAAAAGGGAGAAAAGAATCATGGTAATTTATTGATTATACCTTCTCAAATAATTCCGATGAAGTATGATGATTTGATGCATATCGTGACTTTTCATCAGTTTTCTGATAACTGTAAATAAAACATGTTTTAGGGAAAAAAATGATATAAACGTTAAATTTAAATACACTTTCTAAATCAAATCATTGTAAAAGTGGATAATGGCTAGCAGTGGAACCCACAACGCGCGTTTCATCCAATTTAGGATTCGTCAGCTAGATGTAACAGCATTTCAGAGTAGATGTTGACTCTGGGACTCGAATCCAGTATCATTTACTTCAAACGCCATCGCGTTCTCCACTTAGCTACTGAGTCGTGATAGCCACTTGCTTGTGCAATGGGGTGAAGTTAAAATTCACTTAATGTTCTTTTGCTTGTATATTCCTATTGTGATTTAGGACTGTAATTAATTAGTCTCATGTTGGTATATGTGCACCCTGTGCGGATTGCCTCGATATAGCCCCAAGTCACGAGCTTAGTAGCTAAGTGGATAACGAGATGTTGTTTGAAGTGAACGGTTTTGGGTTCGAACCTCGGGGTGAACATCATCTCTGGGATGCAGGTAAATCCAGCTGATGAGTCTGAAATAGGACGAAACGCGCGTCATGGATTTCACACTAGCAATTATCCATATTTGTTTATGGTGCTTGTGAATTAATTCTACATCGAGGCAGTCGATTATGCTACCCACGTAAGTGAAAGATTCCACACATTCCAGAGCTTCATCAACAAGTGTGATTAGTTCAGTTGAAGTTCGCTGTGTTGTATTTGAGAATTTCAGTCTTTCTGTTGTGTATGTTGAGGCCTACCGATGCAGAGGCTGCCGCTACATCAGTTGTCTTCATCTTCATTTGTTCATGCGTATTGGATAGGACAGCTGGGTCATCTGAGAAGTCCAACTCATCTGAATGGTTCTGGGCTGTCCATTGTATTCTGCGCTTTCCCTCAGATGTCGAGGTCTTCATAATTCAGTCAACCATCATAAGAAAGCGGAATGGGAGGAGTAAGCATCATTGTTTGTCTTCAGTCATCACTTGGAATGCATCTGTCAGCTGTGCTTTCCTGCTCTTGATTTGTCTGACGGCCATTCTGATTTCTTCGATCGTTGATGGAGTGACATCTATCTGTGTGTGCTGCTTCGATATCCAGTGGATTCAATGGAGCTGGTCTATTCAAGAGTTTCTCAGACTGTTCTACTCATCTGTTCCGTTGTTCTTGAATTTCAGTGAATGGCTTGACTTGTTTGTCGTTGACTGGTCTCTCTGGTTTACTATATTTTCCTACCAGTTTCTTTGTTGTATCATATAGATATCTCATATTTACTTCTCCTGCAGATTTTTCCGCTGTCGTTGCTAAGTCTTTCACGCATTTTTATTTGTCAGCTCTAATGCTCCTGCTTACTTGACCGTTTAATCTTGTGTATTCAGATTGTGCCTTGACTTTCTCTGATCTTGTTCAACTGTTGTTAATTGTTATCTTCTTGTCCTTTCTTTCTTGAATATTGACCAGGGTTTTGATAGCGATCCATTCCTTACGACGATGCTCCACGCGACTCAGTGCCTCCAGACACGTCGAAGTTAACGCTTCTCAGACCTCTTTCCAGTTCCTTCTTTCAGTAGATCCTATAACGCTTGGAACCTGTTGTTGGGAGTTACCTTGAGTATTTTAGCATCTCTTACTAAGGCTGCATTGAACCTCTCTTCATCTTTGCCACTACCAGGTGGGATTCTGAAGCTATATCATCCCCTCTCTTCGTTCTCTTGTCCTACATTGACCTGAATTTTTCAGTGGTGCAAATATAATTGATCTGGTTCTGTAGGGTGTGATCCGATGAGACTCATGTAGCTTTATGTATGCATTTGTGTAGAAATATTGTCCCTCCTATAACCATCCTGGTGAGTGCACATAAACTTACAAATATGTCACCATTATTGTTCGATTCTCTTAGTTAGTCCATGTCATCCCATGATATCTTGATATATGATGTTGTCCATTTCGACTTAGGCGTTTAGATCTCTCATGACGATATTCAGATCGTTTCCTAGTCACTTTGCTACGACTGATTGCAGCCTCTCGTAAAACTGATTTTTATCGTCGTCATTGGTATCATTGGTGCCCCCAACTCACTTGGTACGGTCGAGAGTCGGGAGAGTCAGCCCTCTCTATCTCGAAATGCTCTCAAATGGCCACGTGCATACAAACACTGTCAGAGAAGTCCTGCTCACTGCCTTCTGGAGGTGCCACTATTGTTTACAAAGTTGAGAGGACGAATAGCGAATGTCCAGCGCCTTAACCGGGTCAGTGGACACGCAGAGTCCTCCTAGTGGAGTTGGAAAACCCTGATCCCAAACCAATGGTGCACATCGGCTCCAGGATCTTAAGGAAACAAATGGCTTATGAACCTATTGCTGATTATCGGCTACCAAGAGACTTCATCTCCAAACGTTGTTCCACTGCCTTGTGAACTAAAGATTTAGGTCAAAGACTCGCGGTGTGGCTTCCTAATAAAACTATCTGTTTCGGTTTCGGCACCCCAGTAGTATCTCAGCCCTCACACAAATCGAATGATTTATGTGACGCATATGCATTTGGCGCCTCCTTGTACTAATGTTTATGTGTTTAAATAAATAAATAAATAAAAAAATATCATTGGTGGGTGTATAACATTCATTGTGATTCCCTAATTATTTGTTTTGAAGGATGGATTGATGATCATGGATCCATGAGATTCCCCTTTTATATGTGATGTACGTGTTTATTTTGTTAGTATCAGAGCAACTTCCTGAGTGTATGGAGCATTTTCTTCTTCGTAATCAGAGTGCAGTAGCATCTTCCTGGAATCTATCATTCTATGTCCAGCTTGGATCCAATGGGTTTCACTGATTCCGAGCACCGCCAAATTGTATCTCCTCATTTTGGTAACTAATTCACAGATTCACCAGATCTCCCCTATTTTCCAGACATTCCCTGTACACTTATTAATTCTTGCTCTGGTCGTGATAAAGAGGTTGACCTCCTGACTTTTGAAGAATATTGGCTTTCACCATGAGGTGTCATAGTTCTTCTCAATGAAAATCCTTTAACTTGGTTCAACTTATTTATTCTTGTTAGTATTTCTTCAGAAAATGTTTTTCCATGAGATGGGGTTGCTGACCATATGCCTAACCCTAAAAGAGTCACAGGCGGAGTTTTCACAGAACACAACGACTAATTAGCCTTCTGATTGTGGGTAAATCATTGAGTCGTAACATTACTTTATATCGTTTGCGTCACTATCAGAACCTTGGTTGCCATAATTAAGGATTCCATGGAGGTTTATCGAGTGATACATAAGCAATGTTTTTATGACAACTTATGAGGTTTATCGGCACTTTAACTAAGTAATACATTTTGGATACGTTCAAAGTGGGATTAGACCTCTATGATGCTACAAACTGCAAGGATTAATCTGGTCATAAGACCTCCGATCCTCACTAGTAAAGATTGAAAGACTGAATGTTAAAATTACAGCATTTTGGAAAAGTAAACGCCTTTAAAAACTAAAACACTGGAAATTGACATTATTTAATATTGAAAATCGACACTTACTAAAGAGTGGAAAAAGTGAAAAAAATCGTTTTTACTGATGTTTCATCATTTAATACTGATGACGTTATTAAGCTGGTAGTCTTAACTTAACGAACGTATTAACGTTAAATAATGAAACTTTAGAAAGAACAATTATTTCGAACTTTGTCAAAATAATTACACATTACATAGCTTTCTCTATATAAAACTTAAGATTCCTAGAACGAAGGTCGCTAAAGTGTTTAAAACATCGTACATAAGGAAACAAAATGACAGCATTTAACTTCGTCCTGCCGAAAGTACATGAGTGTTAGTATCCATTTATTGATATTATGAAGCATGTTTTGCTGGAAGTTGTGACTTACTCTAACAGTTTCAGAGGTTCGCCTCTTGGTACTGCTACGTATCTATGATTCTCCATTATGTCGCCAACGTTTTCTATCTTAGTTCCCGTATTTGGTGATACGATACAACGGATAGCAGGAACATATTGTCCCAACTGCTTCCTCACTTGTTCCATGAATGAGCTCCATGTTAGAGCTAGTCTCTGATTGATAAAGACGCGTCTCCCTGGGTTGAATGTATCTCCATTTCTATGAACTATAAATGATACGCCACTACGTCTATCATAACTTGAGCTTTTGACTCTACAAAGACAAGCAGTGCAACGTCGCGCATAAACAGCCATCGTATGAATAGATTTTTGTATTGCCACCCTGTTACTTTTATCAAGGTCAAAACCAGAATATGTCCAATATGCCTAACTTTGCTTGACAGAATCAAAGAAATACTTGTCCCTTAGGATCAAGCATGCGTGTTGTGATAGCCTACTTGATAATAAAAAAGTTTTACAAGGCACAAAAAGAATAAATTAATGATTGTTCAAGTTATTTTACATCGATACATGTATACTAGAACTGCAGTTCTAGTATAGAATGTATAAATGATCTAAATCTTTGAAATATTCGCTCCAATCCACGAATCCGTCTTGGGATACAAATTTTCCGATTCTGAGTAGTGACAGCGATCCATGTTTAAGGAAAAATCCCCATTATTTCCATAGCATTACATGAGTTTCGAAGAAATTCATATATCACTATTCAAAACTTAGCATCCTTAGCCGTTATTCGTCGTTATCGAGAAAGGATTCGGTGGACTATGTTACCAAAAGTACCAAGAAAGCGAAATCTCTCTGTAAAACCCATCGATTATTGTTTTTTGAGAATAAGCTATCTACATAACAATAAAAGTTATAAAATAGTAGATCCAAGCGACGTGTTTTTAGTTTATTAATTTTCTTAGGATACCCTTTAAGATGGTCAACCTAAGAAGGGAAAAACGGATTATGGTTATATATTTGTTAGTTTGAGGCGGAATAGTAAATATTAGAAATGTTTAAAGATTCCACAGGTATGTAGTGACCTACTTTTGTCAACAGAACACGATTGGTTCGATGAAAACAATTATTATTATAACCAATTGTACCAGTGACTGTTTTACTGTGCTCGTTTGTTTAACTGTGCTAATAACAGCCATTTTTGGGCCTCCATTGTATTCCATTGCTTTTACGCGGTTTTTGGACTACGCACGTATCTTATCTTGCCGATCGCAACTGTACTCCTTTGGCACGATCTCGGTATTCTTTCGATACCACGAGATCGCCAACAAATACATCTCGACTACAGCCATCATCTGTCTTCTGATGTTGACCTACGGGGGTCTTATTGGTTAATTGGCACGTAGTCTTGTAGCGGTGTTCATAGTCAAGCTCAACTCGACACCACGCTACATTTGGTGAGCCAAATTTTGGAACACGCCTCAACTTCGGTCAAATCTTCTGCAACTGGTGAACCTACATCTACGACCACTTGGCAATCGCAACCAAACCTTCTAAAGAAGTCAATTTTGGTGAGTCTATCGCTTATCTATCGACGTCTGTCATATATTTTCATATTAATTTTTAACATATAATATATTTGACATGACGGATAACGATAAGAATAGTATTAACGTAATAGACTCTGACGTACAGGTTATACACTTTCGACCTGTATCTTTTATTCCTCACGATCCCGAAGTTTGGTTTGCTGCTATAGAGTCTCAATTTGAGACCCGCCATATTACAAGCCAACGGCAGAAGTACACTTACGCTCCCGAATGTTTACCGGGAGACCATTTAGTAGCTGTCCGTGAGGTTGTCCTCAATTCCAATGTGCCCAATGTTTACGATCGTCTCAAGGAGGCGGTCCTCAGACATTTCCTTCCATCGAGGGAGGAACGATTGAGGACGTTATTAGCACGTCACCCCCTGGGTGATGCTAAACCGAGCCACCACCTCACGCGCCTGCAATCTCTTGCAGGACCCACGGCAGCCGATTCTGAAATTGTTAAAGAACTGTGGCTCGAATCTCTACCAGCATTTATCCAACCTACAGTTACGGCCCTGCTCGAGGACGCACCACTGAAACAGGTAGCCCTCACAGCAGACAAAATTCTAGCTAGGACTGGCAATCGAGACAACTACGTAGTTGCCTCAACGTCGCGTCCGAAAGTCGATATCGACGGCAGCCACTCCTCGGCTCAAGGTGACAGGGAAGGGTGTATTCATACACGTCTTAGTTTTCGAGACCGTTGTAACGTACCCCAACCCTACGTCCCTCGAGTCCGCTCACGCTCTCGAAAAGCCGTCAACACTCGCCCAACGAGGGCATCTTCCAAGCCACGCCAAAAGGCGGCTTCGGAAGCGAGTGCAGGTTGGTGCTGGTTTCATCGATCCTTCGGATCTGGTGCCCGCCGTTGTCGAGCCCCGTGCTCATACAAGGCGGGAAACTCCAAAGCCGGCGAGTAAAAGCGGCCGTACTCGCCGGCCCTGCCCCCCAGGTTGGCCGTTTATTTTACGTGCACGATTATCGCACAAACGCTAGGTACCTAGTGGATACAAGTGCCCAAGTTTCTGTCGTACAACGAGGTAGCATCAAGTCACAAGCTACAATGCTTCGACTACGCGCTGCAAACGGCTCAGCAATTCCTACCTATGGTACACGACAACTCGCGGTCAACCTGGGCAACCGACGACGGTATCTGTGGACGTTCATCATTGCTGATGTTCCCACAGCCATACTAGGTATTGATTTCCTACAGCACTATGAATTGCTAGTCGATTCACGTAGGCTGCAGCTAATCGATATTTCGTCGAACAGTAAATTCTTGGGCTTTAAAGCTCACACAAACGCGTACCGAATCCTCGGCACTTTTTATTCTTGTGACGATAAATTCCACGCCTTATTCGAGAAATTCCCCAGATTAACTAAACCATTCGAGGAGATTTCATCGGTTACCAATCGTGTGGTACACCACATAGTCACCCGCGGACCACCAGTCACGGCAAGACCACGCCGACTGGCACCGGACAAATTAGCCTTCGCTAAACGTGAGTTTGACAATTTACTATCTTCTGGTATTATTCGTCCTTCTCACAGTCCTTGGGCCTCTCCTTTACATATGGTGCGCAAAAAGGATGGGGTTAGTTGGAGACCTTGCGGCGACTACCGAGCATTAAACGTAGTTACGCGCTTTGATAGCTACCCCATCCCCCACATACACGACATCACGGCATCGCTCAAGGGCACGACTATCTTCTCTAAAATCGATCTGGTACGAGCATATCACCAGATCCCAGTCGCTCTTGAAGACATCGAGAAAACTGCTATCACGACTCCTTTCGGTCTGTTTGAGTTCCTACGAATGCCATTTGGATTACGGAATGCTGCTCAAACTTTTCAAAGGTTTATCGATAGCATAGTACGAGACTTGGATTTTGTTCACGTCTATATTGATGACCTGCTGATCGCATCATCAAACGTAGATGAACATTATCAACACCTTACGCTATTATTCCAACGTCTTTCGGATAATGGAATAGTAGTCAACCCAGAGAAATGTGAGTTGGGTAAATCAGAAATAATATTTCTGGGTCACATCATCAGACGAGAGGGTATTCTGCCTTGCGAGGACAAAATTCGAGCAATCAAGGAGTACAACGTGCCGTCCTCACTCAAGGAACTGAAGGCTTTTCTCGGTTTGGTTAACTTCTACCGACGTTTCATCCCTCACGCGGCAGAACGGTTACGACCATTAACCGATTTACTACGCGGTAATCCACGCAAATTAGAACTAAACGATACCGCACGTACTGCATTCTCAGAGATCAAAACGGCTCTCACTGAAGTTACACTTCTCGCTCATCCTGACTCATCAGCCACGCTTAGTATGGCGGTTGATGCATCAGATTTCGCTATAGGAGCCGTTATGCAACAGAATATCTCCGGTAGTTGGCAACCGCTTGAATTTTTCTCACGACGCCTTACTCCCACGGAGACGAGATATAGCGCTTTTGGTCGCGAGCTGCTTGCAGCCTACTGCGTCATTAAACATTTCCGGCACGCAGTAGAAGGACGTCAATTCATTTTATTCACCGACCATAAGCCCTTAACGTATGCCCTGCATACCAAGTCTGACCGCTACTCACCACGAGAGTGCAGACATTTGGACTATATCTCACAGTTCACGACAGACCTTCGTCACATTAAAGGCGAGTCGAACTATGTTGCCGATGCTCTTTCACGTATCCAGACGAATGCGGTTACTTTACTGGTGCTCGATCTTCCTGCTATGGCCGCCGCACAAGCAAACGATCCTGTCTCTACAGAAGCACCACAATCTTCGTCCCTTCAGTGTCAGGAAGTACCCCTAGCTACTAGCTCAGGTACTATCCCATGTGATATTTCTACCGGTCTACCTCGACCCATCGTACCCTCTACCTATCGCCCTCTCGTCTTCGATGCCCTTCATGGATTGTCTCATCCAGGTACCGCAGCCACATTACGTCTCATCGCTGCACGATACGTCTGGCCGTCCATGAATAAAGATGTTCGTATGTGGGTAAAGCAATGCTTACAGTGTCAACGATCAAAAGTGCACAGGCACGTAGCTGCCCCCATTGGCACGTTCGCTACGCCTGATGCTCGCTTTGATCACGTTCATATAGACATTGTAGGACCATTGCCACCATCGCATGGGTATGATCACATACTCACGTGCATTGACCGTTTTACTAGATGGCCCGAAGCTATTCCTATCACCTCTATCACGGCGGAGACAGTTGCTCACCGCTTCGTAGAACGATGGATAGCATTGTACGGTTGTCCTTCGACTGTCACGACTGACCGAGGACAACAATTTGAGTCCGCATTATTCTCCTCACTGGCCCGGCTGCTTGGTACGGAACGCATACGCACTACCGCCTACCATCCAGCATCGAATGGTTTAGTCGAACGGTTTCATCGCCAACTTAAAAGTGCTCTTCGAGCACACGAAAACGACAATTGGTACGAAACCTTACCGCTCGTTCTCTTAGTTATCAGAACGAGTTTGAAGGCAGATATCCAATGTTCCGCCGCTGAACTTGTATACGGCACGACATTGCGTCTGCCTGGGGAATTATTCACACCACGGAGCAGTAATGATTTCGGTAAATCAGACTACGTCCATCGACTGTCTGCATTTATGCGAACGCTGTCTCCGGTGTCAACTCGAATACAACATCGACAGGTCGCTCTCCCTCGAGAGTTATCTACCTGTTCACATGTTTTCATACGAGTAGATTCGGTACGCAAACCTCTACAACAGCC